AAAAAATTGTTCAGTTTCAAGAACATGGTGGCATTTTTGTGCCGAGTGCAGAAAAACGGGAATTTGATGATCGAACCACTCGAATCTTGCAGAAATAAGCACAGATTCTCAAAGAGGACACTTTGGGCTATCTTTTTATGTGACCTTTGAAAAACTCGAAAACGAACGTTTCTGAGGTGGAGAGCCCTTAACCTTTTACGTGGGACTGTCTTTATCTCGTGTTTGCATACTGATAACACGGGAAGAAAACTACATAAAACCCTGAAAAATATATTTAAGAAAGTGTATCATTCAAAAGGTAAACTATAAAACGCGTTTTGATGATAAAATCTTTCTTGTATACGGCTTGTTCGAAGGTGACGCTGTGACATTTTTGACACAGTAATTTTTGCATTTTTCTCGAAAACTGCAGAAGCTAGAAAGTTCGTTCTGGCACCATTCAACGCAACTCCCGAAACTCTACTTACGCTATAAAAATGAAGATTTTAGTTAATTTTTAAATTTTAAATTAAAGTGTTTATATTGAAAATTAATTTTTTCTTCAAAAAAAAGTTAGATTCGTGATCAGCATGAAAAGCTGCGTTTAGTGATGTGTCCCTATCGATTCTGAGACGAAAAAATTTAAAAAAACTTGATCAGTGAAGTGTCGCATTACGTGGACAAACCGTATAGTTGGCAATTATTATAATAAACTTTTACCTCTTTATAGTACATATTTTCATTTCCGCTTACTTATTGCTAGTAAAGAAAAACTGACATGATTCGTTTTAGTTTTTATCTTGAATGTTTGTGTTTTAGACTAACATAGATCCATATTTCTACAAAGTTGTTATTTGATTATTTCATCATTCGGTAAGTATAAATTTTGAACATATGTTATTTGTAGTAGGCTGTATAAAAAGTCAAATAAGATAGCAGTAGAAAGATCCGTTTCTATCGCAATTTCAAAGTAAATATGACTATTCTACTACGATGAGGTTGTTGGTAAGCCTTTGAAGATCTGATTTATGAAATTCAGATGTCTTGAACTGAAATTGTTTCTTCAATGAGTTTTTGATCTTAGTATTTTGTTGTTCAGCTTGTGTTGGACGTGTTTAATAACATTTTTTCATCCTAAAACATATGTTAATTATGTTATAATACAAACGGCGAAGTTCTGATTTTGAAAAGAAATTACTTTTAACCCCCACACATATACACACAAATTTTTTGTAAAGAAACGTTCCCAACAGTGAAGGATGGATTATAGAATGAGGTACAAAAGATGATGAGAACTGGCGCTCTGGACGAAAATGGACTACTCCACCAGACTCCACTTTGAACGAGGCTATGAGGTCGGGACGCATTATAGAACGAGACGTGTTCTTAAAGCAATTATACATGGTTAGGAGGAATTTGGACACCCATTCTAACACTCTAACTGAACAAGAGTTCAATATAAATGTTCGTCTACACTTAGTAGAAGGACTTTATCTATCTGTTCCAGCGGCATGTCAGAATGGGGGACCTTTTTGTGACAAAACAAGACTTTAAGAAACCAATTTTTTAATAAATATTAGTGCTGAATAGGAGGGAAGTTCATTCACCAATTCGAATGTCCTGTCACAAAGAATGTTTTTTTTCCGACAGAACGGAAGTTTAATGAATCCGTTCTTTGATAAATATTAATGACTTGTAGAACGCAGTTTGTCTACTTGTTCGGACGCCCTTGCCAAAACGTGTTAATAAAGGGCGTGGCAGAGAAAATGAGACTTTTTTGTTTTTGCTACAACTCGGTCAGTTTTGATCCGATTGGTCCAAACTTTTTTAAAAAGATGCGCTGCGAAATGCTCTACAAAATCATACCTAAACTATAATTTCAGAACTTCAATCAATAAAACTAAGCCAATTAGATGAAAGTCGACAAAAATGTAAACTTTCTGAACTCAAAATTTTTTCTACTTGAACTTTTTCTTCTGCTACTATTGTCGTTAAAAAGTGTAGCAAAACGGAGAACTAAGTTTATGTTTGTCCTTTTAAATGTACTCTTTCTCGTGCTCTGTAGAGAAAACTTTTTTAGAGCAGATGGTGTGCTCGCGGAGGAAGTTACAAAAATACGTCAAAAGTTGACAACCTCCCGTTTCCAACAATATGCTCAATCAAGAAACGGAAAAGACGATTGAAGGTTGATTTTGCAGTTAGATAGAGAAGAGCAATCATTTCTGATCAAAACAAAGCAAACCTGACCAAAAAAGCTTTTATTTTGATGGAGTTATGGGGCTTTTACTGGAAGCACTACTATACCCAAATTAAAAAATTAATGAAAAAGTGCATGACAGCCGATAGAAAAACAATTATTTCGCTGTGGCTTTTGATGTGAAAACATCTGAAGCGTAGCTAAAAGATAGAGCAAAATCGGGGCTACAAAATGGCTAATTCAGTTTTTCTTACTTTCAGAACGTTCATTTTTCAGTTTAGAAAGCTTACATTTGTTCGACTTCCATCTGATTGGCTTAGTTTTCTTAATTGAAGTTCTGAAATTGTAGTTTAGGTATGATTTTGTAGAGTATTTAACAGCATATCTTTTAAAAAAATGTTTAGACTTATCGGATCCAAACTGACCGAGTTGTAGCAAAAACAAAAAAGTCTCATTTTCTCTGTCACATCCGTTAGAACAGGAGTTTAAAGAATCAAATCTGTTCTTTATATCAGTATCTAGTAGTGGGAAGTCATGTACCACTTCGGACATCCTGTAAGAACGGAAGTTCATGATTTTGTATACTTTGCAGAATGAGAAGTACGTATTCCGTTCAAAACATTAAATTTTATAAGTAATACAGAATTGTACAATTTGATGTTTTCAACAGCCACACAAACCCAACAATATATGTGCTGATGCATACAGTAAAAGAGTTCAGTTTCTCTATTCTGCAGCTTAAATCACAGAAATTATAAGAAATTATCAATAGCACAATTTAAAGAGATCATTTTTACACTTATTTGAAATTCTCGACATGAATCTGATTCAGCAAATAGGTTCACTGTTTATAAATTTCTTTCGGTCTTTGCTTCACAGCAATATTTTTATATTGGTTAGAGATTTCTTTCACTAATTCGTTCTCACTCAAATTTCACTTACGAGGGAACCTTTCCAGGTGTCCAACTGCTTTTCTAACGAAATGCGGTAGTTTATTGGTAATCGACCATGCTGATTCCGAATACAACAGCCATTTTTTCCCATAGGCCTTCCCTAACCGGTTTCTGGAAAACTGGTTTTCTAGAAACCTCAAAAAATCCTCAAGAGTTTTTCTAAATAAGTTACAACTGTAGCTCGCGAAATTCTAATTAAAATGAGACATCTCCCAGCTCTACGTGACCTTTCTTTGCAAAGTTATGGAATTTATAAGAAAAGCCCTAAATTCATCTTTCCTTCTTCTTTCTGTAGTTCTGAGGTGACAATAAACATTTAGGGCTTTTCTTGTAAACTCTATAACTTTGCAAAGAAAGGTCGTGTAGAGCTGGGAGATGTCTCATTTCAATCAGAATTTCGCGGACTACAGTCATAACTTATTTAGAAAAATGTTTGAGGATTTTTCGATGTTTCTGGAAAACCAGTTTTCCAGACACCGATTAGGAAAGGCCTATGGGCAAAAACGGCTATCGTATTCGGAATCAGCATGGTCGATTACCTATAAACTATCACCACATTTCGTTAGAAAAGCGGTCGGACAACTGGAAAGGTTCCCTCGTTAGTCAAACTATTATTTTGTTTTAGTGTTTCTGAAAGCGTCTGACCCGCTTTGCTGTCAATTTTGTTCTCATTCAAAATAAATTGAATACTCGGTAAGACTTCTTCTTCGTATTACTTTAAAAATTAAGACATATGTATAGGTGAATTTCTTAGAATATTACTGCTTAAAAACATAATTTATATTCTTCTAATACAATGAATAAAGAAATTTTACAATTGGATACAGAAAAACGTATTTCAATTCATATTGAAAATGGAAATGGAAATAAAAAAACTGATCAATTAGATTTAAAATATCTACTAAATCCAGCTAATATTAAAATACAGGACAATTTAAATTATCTTGAATTTAATTATAAAAATAAGCAACATAATTATTATAAGAATGATAATATAATTACTTGTGAATCAAATAGTGGAATAAAAAAATTAAATGAAAATGAATTAAAAATTTTAAATTATCATTTAAAATGTGATATTTTTCTATTTAAATCATTAGAATTAAAAGAAAATCTTGATAAATGTGATATTGAAAAAACAATAATTAAAGAATATTTAATTAATTATAAATCGAAAAAAAATTTTAATTTTAAAATAAATAATGAATTAATATTTAAGAAAAAAGAATTAAATGAAATAATGAATGAATGAAACAATTTAAATATGAATAATACTGAAAATAGTATGGAAAAGTTAAATATATTAGAAACAAAAGTTTATAATTTGGAACATCAACTTGAATTTACAACTGAAAAATTAAATTCATTAAATGAATCAATCATTAATTTAAAAATTAAAAATGATAATATTAATTCTATAATGTTAAATAATGATATTGACTTAAATGAATTAATTACAATAAAATTTATACATTTTGAAGAAATTTTAATTGAAAGTGAATTTAATAAAACAAAAAATATTAAAAATTATGAATTAGAAAAAACAATAAATTGGAAAAAATTTGATTTAAATAGAGAAAAGAAATGATTTAGATGAATTGATTACACTTTTGAGGAATGAAGAAAATGATATTGATAATTTAAAGAATGAAAAATATTCTAAAGAAAAAAAGAAAAAAGATTTAATAGTAGAATATGTGAATATAGAAAGATATAAAATTTCAAATATTGAAAATAGTCTAGATGGTCTACGTCACTATTGTGACATAAAGTTAATAAATAGAAAACTAAAATTAGAATTTAAACTTGAATTAGAAGAAAAGAAACAACATAAAATAAGTGAAATACGTTCTACACAAATAATTGAAATATTTACAACCATAAAAACGGGTAAACGGTGGGAAAAAAAATGATGCACATTGGCAATCATTTTTTATGGATCATCATTATATGAATATAATTGAAATTGTAGTTAAATTTGTAGAAGATGAATTGAGTAACAATGTTCCTTTTATTGATACTGAAGAACTAATAAGAAAATTAATTCAAAATTTAATAAATAATCATAATTTATTTAGAAATTTTAATTGAAAACAGCTTTTATTTGGAAACAATGTTCATCTACATCTTGATCGTTATGTTAAAGAAATTAAAATGATTGTTGATAATATAATTCGTCTACGATCAGGTAAATACGAAAAAGAATTGTATTGTGTTAGAATGGATTATAATAAAAGAATTAATAATGTATCTGATAAGATTTCTACAATCGAAAATGAGATAAAACAGATAGAAAAATATATAGAAACTGATAGAAATGAATTAATGAGCGAAAGAAGTGATAATAATGAAAAAATAAGGTATTCAACAGCTATAACTGATCTATCTTGGAACAGAATAGTTGATCAATATCAGTTGATCAAACAACAACTAGAAAAGGAAATAGAAGAATTAGAAGAAAAGAAAAAACATAAAATAAGTAAAATACTACTTTCAACACCACAAATAAATGAAATATTTGAAATTTTAAAAATGGCTAAGCTGTGACAAAAAAATAATGTACATACTGACTGGCTGTCATTTCATATGGATCATCATTATATGAATACAATTGAAATTGTAGTTAAATTTGTATCATATGAATTAAGAGACAATGTTGATATTATTAATATTGATGAAATTAAAAGAAAATTAATTCAAGATTTAATAAATAATTATAATGAGCTTTTATTTGGATGCAATATTTTTATACATGTTGATAAATATGTTGAAAAAAGTAAAATATTTATTGATAATGTAATTCGTGTACAACGATCATTAAAAGACAAAGAAGAAAGGATTGCAATATATTCTAATACAAGAATTAATAATGTATCGAATGAAATTTCTACAATTGAGAATGAGATAAAACAAATAGAAAAACATAGAGAAACTGAAACAAGTGAATTAATAAAATTAAAGAGTCAAAGAAATGATAATAATGAAACAATAACGGCCTGGCCAGCTAACTCTACCTGCGTACGTAATTCCGTGACGTTTTTCTATGATTTTGTTTTATTTGCAGAAATTTTTGAAAAAGTCAGAACTCAAAAGTAAATAAACCATTTTGTAGACAA